CCGCAGCGCCCGCAACCCGAGAGATCGCGGACTCCTGCGGCGGCTGCTGCTACGGCAGCGACGGCGGAGGAGGAGACATTGGCCCGAAGACAGGCGGCGAAAACAGCGCCGCGGGGCCACCAGAGTCAGCCGACTCCTCGTCCGGGACAACCGACGGGAGGGGAGTGACGTGAGACACACCAGACAGGGCATGACGGGGAGGGAGAGGAACAGGGGATACCGGGGGAGAGGGAACCAGAAACAGGGGCGGGGACACCGGGAGACGTCAGTGGGGAAAGCGGTGGTAGAAGGAGACAGACTCTTCAAAAGTGACGTCACCCGAGTGAAAGAAGGTGAGACAGCGGATGGAAAAAGTGCTTGTCAGACGCATCGAGGAGGGAACCAAGGAAGACGCAAGGGACAGTGCGGGCAGTGAGCTTGTCCGTGCAAGATGCACGAACGTGAGCAAGGCAGCCCCAGACGTGGAACGCAGACGCGTCGCCAGGGAACCCGGTCCAGAGAAGAGTCGGCGAAACCTGCGGCCGCTGAAAGTGCGGCCACAGGTTAAGCTGTCAGCGGCGTAGCGAACAGCAAACAACAATAGAAAATGGGGTGCACCGGCATGGATCATGGAGGTACGAGCCACCTCCATAACCAAACCAATGCGTTGCTCAGCGTCCCCATTCTGCTGTTGGGAGTCCGGCAGGGTGTATGACTGGGTGATGCCCTCCGCATGATAGAACAGGCCACGTCCACCGGAGGCGAACTCGTCGTCACGGTCAGAGTGGAGACGTAGCCCAGGGAGGCCGCCGTGGGCTCGCGCAGCTACGACCCACGGGATAAGAACGTCAGGCACGTCGGCCTTCCGCTCTAGGAGAAAACCGTCGTGTTGCGTGTATAGTCGTTGACAAGCACTAGAAAGTAGCGCTCTCGACGTGGCCCAGGGACGGGGGCTTGGCCCCAAACGTCTAATTGCAAAGTGTGGAGTGGTGCAGTGGTAGGGGGGAGCGAGGAGAAGTGAGGAGCATGGCGCACTTGGCTCTCAATGCAAGGCGTGCACGGCGGCATAGGTGAGGGGGAAGGGCAAGGAGCGACACAGAGAGACTGAAGACAAGACCGTGATGGGACGTATCATATAGACGCGGAAGTGCAGGGTGACCTAGGCGGTGGTGTCATAGAAGCGACACGTGAGTGAGTGATTGACATGAGCAAGCCGTAGCGACCAGGGTGGACTAAGGCACCTAGGGGGACGCCTTTGCAGAGGGGGACGCGGTGTCAAGCGTTAACAGGCCAGACACGGGGTCCTGGGGGATTGTGGTGAGAGGGGCACCAGTGGTGGCCTTGGTACAGATTGCGTACCGCTCGTGTCCGAGGAACGTAGTGATGACGCTGAGGTTCTACAGACAGCCGACACCAACTAGGGTCCTGGAGAAGGAGGGGATGTGCACGGCTGTAAGAGAACCCGATGGGACCGCCGGACAGGGAAGGATGGTGGAGCTACGAGCAAGTACCGGACCTGAGGAGGGGTCAGCAAGTGCGACAGCAACAAGGGCGGCAAGCGTCGTGAGCGCAGTGTGGTCGCGGAAGAAGCAGGCGGACGCTCCAGAGTCGAGTGTAAGAGAGAGCGAAGCACTCGCGTCAGCCGGTGGAGGGGCTGGCGTGGAGCCTACACGAGAGTTATCAGCATACATAGTAGACCTAAGCTGATCCATGTCAAGCTCAAAGACCGGCACATGGCGGCGGGCCAAGGCGTACCAGTCAAGAGGGTCCACCGTTGGGCTGAAGCAGAGATGGTAGAGGTCGTCCAGGCGGTAGTGTGCCCGGGACGGTCGCAGATGGTGCTGCAGTGGAGGCTGGACTGAAGCTGCTACTGGCCGGTGACCACATTGGTGCTGCCACCTGACACCGAGCTGCACCCACCCACCACCACGACGACCACCACCAGCGCTGCCAGTCCACCTCGGCGGCGGGGGTCCCCACGGCGACTGCTGCTGTTGCTGCGACTGCTGCTGCTGCTGAGTCTGCTGTTGCTGCTGCTCCGGGGCACCAGCCCCAGTCCCCTCGTCTGAACCACCTGCCCCCCCTCCACCACCCCACCACCCCCACCACCCCCACCACTCTTTCCTCCGCCATGACCCCCCTTGAGGCGGCGGCCCCTACCCTGACGCTGCTGCACTGAGGCCGCAGCGGCGGTCTCCTAGCAGGGGCTGTCTCAGCGACAGCGGCAGAAACGTCAGAGAAAGTGCACTGGGAGGGAGCAGCACAGCCCTGAAAGATAGGGACCGCCGCAGTACCGCTAGACTGCGCGATAGTGCTCTGGTGGGTCTCTATCGCGGACAGGGTAGTGATAAAGGCGGTAAGGGTGAGGTCACCTGGGTGTTGCCTAAAGAAATGGTCGCGTGCAGTGGCTAGGCGGTCCGGAAGACGCATAACAATGAGGTAAAGGGTAGTGCAAAGCGGCGGCAGGAAGACAGCAATCTAGGCCTCAGTGCTAGCATCGTGGTAGCTAGCACCAAGTGCGTGGAGGTGAGTTGCAAGGTCAGCGACATTGGGGAAGGACGCAAGATTAGGGAACAGCATGGGGCAGATCAGGCGGCCTGCGGAGGCTGAGGCGGGCATGGAATAGCGCGCAACGATTGCAACTAAAAATTCCATGGCGACTCCCAGACAGCGCGAGCAAGCATAGCAGAGGAAAAGGCCTCATGCTCAGCAGTGGTGGGGGCATCAAGGAGGGCAGCAGGCGCGGCTGGGAGGGAAGCATACCATTGACACGAACAGCTAGGGAGTAACCGTCCTGGCACTGAACTGTCAGGTGACGGCGAAGGTCAATGAGCCACGCCTCGAAGACGATCGCCCGCCCCTCCGTGTCCAGGCGGAGCACAGCGTCCGCCATCCAGTGACCTCAGCTGCACGGTGGCACGGCAACACGGCGACATGAGGTCACGGCGCTACGGCGACACGAAGGCACGGTGACACTGCAGTATTGCAGCACGGCGGCACTGCGCCACGGCGCCACGGCAGCACGGCGGCATGGCGCCACGACGGTACAGCGGCACGGCGACACGGCGGCATGGCGACACAGCGGCGCCGCGGCACGGCGGCTCTACACTGCGGCACGGGCCAGCGGGCACGGAGCTGGCGAGCGTGGGGCTGGTGAAAGCAGGGCCAGCGAGCAGGTGCGGGGCCAGCAGGCACAGAGCTAGTGGCCGCGGGGCTGGCGAATGCGGGGCTGACGGGCACAGGACTGGCGGGCGCAGAGTTGGTGAACGCGGGGGCAGCGGGCGCGGGGCCAGTAGGCACGGAGCCGGCGAGCTTGGGGCCAGCAGGTGCGGGGCTGGCAATCGACGGGCGGCTACGGGCAGCTAGCGGTGAGCGGCTAGAGACGGGCAGCTAGCTACGGGCGGCAAGCGATAGGCGGCTAGGTCTAGGGCTAGGACTAGGGCGGAAATGTGGTTGGGTGGGATCCTAACCTAGTGAGATACCATGTTAGCGTAGAAAGATTGACTAGAATGAAGGCAAACATTGTGGTTTTGTCTAAGGGGTCGTACCCTCTAAGAGTACGTGCCTATCTAGCCTATGAGACATGTACAAAATATGTTTGACACTGATAGCTCAGCCACCCCCCCCCCCCTGGTCCCCTGATTTTTCAGGCCCCTCAGAGAAAATTTCCTTGATCCATCAGGGTCGTTCGATTTTTCCGCGCTTAGTAAACAGATTACACACAGAACGCACGCTGAGTAAGATATGCCTAGTACTATGCGGTAGCAGGGCTCTCAACGGCAGCAGGCGTAGAGGGACCAGGGCTAGGTTTGGGCTCTGGGAGTGCAACCGTGTGGGAAACAAAAATGGTCAGTCGCATTCAAAACGGCGAGATTGACAGGGAGGGTGGGGGAAACTCACAAAAATCACAGGTGGAGGGATGGGGGCTGCGAGTCCGCTATTACGCGAATCAAGTTCGGCCCCTGATAAAAGGTTGGACAAACAGGGCTCACTACACTAGTCATGCTGATCGATCAAAGTTCATTCCTGCAAAAACACTGAAATTTCAGGCGCGTGTCCCAAAAAAAGGCTGTCTCATCAGAGCCACCCCTAATAGAGCCCTGATTTTACCCTGAATCTGAGTAAAAAGCCTGCAATCTGAGGCCCTGACGACCAAGGCGGGCTAGGGCGCAAGCGCGGGTGAAGGGACGTAACCTAGCTGATACAATCTCATAATAATGGAATGAGTAGAATGAGGGGATACAAGGCAATACATGGTTGGGAATTGTACACTCTAAGAGCACGAACCCTACTAGCCTATAACTTCTACATATGCAAGATATGTATAACTATAATTCAGTGCACATTCAGAAGACAAACGACAAGCACCGAATTTTGGTGCACAGTTCGGTTACGAAGCTGAGGTCAAAATGGGGCGACTTGGACCGCAGTGAAATCCGAAATGCAAAGCGCATCAACCTTGTTTCTCGTTTCTTTATGTCTGTTTCATTACGCGTTTGTTGGACTTCGAATGTATCACTTGTTTCTACTGAAATTTAGTGAAAGCTCTCGAGTTTTCAGTAGAGAAAACTGCTTTTTGCTATTCTCAGCAATAGTAACCTCCTCAACCAGAGGCGCTGTCGAAATACAGTATGTATGATTTCACTAGTGTACCGTCCTCCATGCCTCCATGCATCCATGCATCCATGCCTCCATGCCTCTGTGCATCCATGCCTCCATGCATCCATGCCTCCTTGCATCCATGCCTTCATGCCTCCATGCATCCATTCCTCCATGCACCTATACCTCCATACAGGTGGGCATGATCGCCATCAACGATGCCGTGCTGCTCAACGCCCACAACTTCTCCTCCCACCCCGCCTACACACGCCTGCTCGACCTATTTAACGAGGTACGCCTCTTCTCTTTCCCGCCTTTCTCCCCCTCCCCTACCCCGTCCTTCCCCACCCACCCTTTTCCCGCACCCCTCTCTTCGCTTCCCAATCCCCTCTTCGATCCTCGTTGTTATCAAGCAGGTGTGTTCACAACATCGACCTCATCACCACTCCTACCGCATTTCTGGACCTCTCTTCTCCCACTCTTCGTCCCCTCTTCTCCACCTCTTCTCGTTCTCTTCTCCCCTCTTCTCCCCCTCTTCTCCCCTCTTCTCCCCTCTTCCCCCCTCCTCTTCCCCTCTTCTCCCCCTCCTCTCCCCCTCGTCTCCCTCCCTTCTCCCCCTCGTCTCCCCTCTTCTCTTCCCTTCTCCCCCTCCACTCCCCTCTCCTCCTCCTCTCCCCTCTTCTCCCTCTCTTCGTCCCTTCTCCTCCTCCTCTCCCCCTCTTCTCCCCTCCTCTCCCCCTCTTCTCCCCCTCGCCCTCTTCTCCCCCTCCTCTCCCCCTCTTCTCCCCTCCTCTCCCCCTCCTCTCCCCCTCTTCTCCCCCTCCTCTCCCCCTTCTCTCCCTCCTCTACCCCTCTTCTCTCCCCTCCTCTCCCTCCTCTCCCTCTCTTCTCCCCTCGTCTCCCCCTCTTCTCCCCCCTTCTCCCCCTCCTCTCCCCCTCCTCTCCTACTCCTCTCCCCTCTTCTCCCTCTCTTCGCCCCCTCTTCTCCTCCTCCTCTCCCCCTCTTCACCCTCCTCTCCCCCTCTTCTCCCCTCCCCCTCTTCTCCTCTCTTGTCCCCCTCGTCTCCCCCTCTTCGCTCCCCTTCATCCCTTCCTCTCCCCCTCCTCTCCTACTCCTCTCCCCCTCTTCTCCCTCTCTTCGCCCCCTCTTCTCCTCCTCCTCTCCTCCTCTTCTCCCACTCTTCCCCTCTTTTCTTCTCTTCTCCCCTCTCCTGAAGGGGAGGTGGACCTCAACAAATACACCATATCCACGTGGGTGTACCATGCCAATTCCCCATGCCCTGCCACAGGCCTGCAGCATAGCATGCACATTCTCATGTATAGAACCTGCACTCAACGCTGCTTCTTACCAACCAATCCATCCGTGTTCAGTCTCCTGGCCTCTTCCTTTCCTCATTTCCTTGGAGACATCTCAAGGCACATCCCTCTCTAAATGGAGAGAGGCATGTCTACTTCTGTCTTCTTCCGCCATCCCTCTCTCCCGTCTCGAGACCTCAATTGGTCCTCTCCTCCTTCCCTCTCCGTGGCAGGTACCTCAAGATTGTGCAGTACAAGGCCTACTATTCCTTCTGCCTCCCTCTAACTTTCCACCTGCTCACCTCCCTCTCCCTTCTGCTAACTGTTTCCTTTCGCTCCTTCGCCCTAGCAGACACCTCAAGATCGTGCAGTACAAGACAGCCTACTATTCCTTCTACCACACTGTAAGCACATTCCACGCTCTCGTCTCAACCACGCCGCATATTTAACCACACCGAGTCAGCTCTCCAACACCGCACTGCACGTCTGCCACATTTCACATCTCATCCCCGCTGCACTTGCGACACTCCCTTGGGGTTGCCGGATCCTCTTGAGAATTCTCCAGAGGACCCTTTCAACTCTAGCACAACGCCCCTAACACATGCAAGAGGCCTTCTCAAGAATTCTCGAGGTCAGACGGGCCCTTCTCAAGGCCACACCACACCTCAGCCGCCAAGGCGAGGTTGGTAGGGCTCTGTGTTGAAGGCGACGGACGGCCTACCCCTGCTTGCCCCCTCTCCCTCCACTGGTTACCTTTCCTCCCCTCCCATGTGCCGTGTGCGCTGGTCCTGGCTTGCATGGAGGATTCGGCGCTGGCGGCAGCGCATGGCAAGGACATTCTGGTGCAGGGCACGGCCATCCGGGCATGCTCTCTGGCTAGAAAATGCTGTGGCTAGAAGAACCCTCTCTCATCCCTCTCCATGTTGTTACCTTCTCTCCCCTCCCAAGTGGCATGTGCGCTGATGCTAGTGGGAGTCGAGGATGCAGCACTTTGGCAGCGCAGGCCAAGGAGATTCTGGTGCAGATGGGGACGTATTTCCAGGTGCAGGACGACGTGCTTGACTGCTACAGCGACCCCGCTGTCATTGGCAAGGTGAGGCGTATGGGGCACGGTGGGCTCACAAACTTTGAGTTGGGTGTAGGGATGGCTGAGATGGATTCGTGCTTCCAGGTGCATGACAACGTGCTGGACTGCTATGGCGACCCTGCTTTCATTGGAAAGGTGGGGAATGTGGGGCATGTAAGGCAAGATATTGGGATATGGAGGCAAGGTGGGCTCATGGCTTTGAGTTGGGTGTAGGGATGGCTGAGATGGGGAGGTACTTCCAAGTGCAGGACGATGTTTGCGCTGCTATGGCAGCCCTGCTTGTCATTGGCGAGGTGAGAGACATGGGGCATGTGCTTGGCGTAGTTCTTAATGTTGGGGTGTAGGGCTGGAGAGACGGGCTGACATGCGGACGTACTTGCACGTGCAGGACGATGGACTGCTATGGCGACCCTGTTGTCATCGGCAAGGTGAGAGACAGCGTGGGGTTGAGTGCTTCCAATTCTCAGTTTAGGGTTTAGGGCTGGCGATTTAGGGTCCCGTGCAGTTCGACATGCTCGACTGCTAGCTGCTCGCTCCCATGCACCGTACCTCCCATTCTCATCCCCCTCTACCAAGTGGGCACGAACATCTAGAACGTCTATGACGTCTGGGACACCAAGTGCTTGTGGCTGCTGGTGCATGCCTTGAGGCGTCACCCTTCCTTGCAACCAGATGGCTCCCATGCACCTTTCCTCTACTCTTAAAACCCCATTGCTTTTCTCAGGTGGGCATGGACATAGAGGACACCAAGTGCTCGTGGCTGGTGGTGACGGCCCTGCAGCAGGTGTCAGAGGAGCAACGGCAGATCATAGAGGTAAGTCACGCCTTGCTGTCACTCCGTGTTGGTGGCTCAGGTGGGGTGCGCACAGGTGTCGTCAGCAGGCACCAGATGATCACTGACATTTATGCCGTCACGTCACCCTCCCTGCCTGTCCACCGCACTCGCCACCATCTCTCCCTCCTTGCTCACTCCCTGCCTCTCCCTTGCATAAAGAGCAACTATGGCACTTCAAACCCGCCTCCCTCCTCACCCTCCCTGCCTTGAACGCAGAGCAACCATGGCATCTAAAAACGCCCCCACTTTCCCATGCTTGTCCCTTGCACGCAGAGCAACTACGGCAAGAAGGACGAGAAATGTGTGGCGGCCATCAAGCAGCTCTACACGCACATGAAGCTGCAGGTGGGTTCTGGTGCAGGTGGATTCTGGTGCAGGTGGGGTATGGTGCAGGTGGGGTCTGGTGCAGGTGGACTCTGGTGCAGGTGGGTTCTGGTGCAGGCGGGTTTTGGTGCAGGTGTTGGCACCTGAGGCCAAGTGTACTACGCGAGCCTGACGTCGCTGCTGTAGCTCACGCAGGAGGAAGTACCGCAGCTGAATGTGCTTCGCTCTGCCCTCAAGTCGAGGCTCCTGACACAGGAGGATCATGGCCCTGTTGTCAGCGAACAGGACCGGGGCAGAGCTAGGACGCTCACCTAAGTCAGTGAGCAAGAAGGTCAGCCAGCGGAGCTCCTGTGCCGCCATGGCACCAGCGTAGATCTCAGCCTCACAGCTGGACTGCGCAACAGACAAGGAGCGAGTAGCTCTCCACGAGACGGCACCTGAGCCAAGGCTGAAGCAGTAGCCCTGGGTAGACCTGAGTGTCTCAGCGTCGTCTGCCCACGAAGCGTCTGTGTGTCCAGTAAGGACCACTGGCCTGCGTCCTCCAAGCACTAACCCCATGCCTGATGTACTAGCAAGATAACGCAGAACCCTCTGAGCGGCAGACCAGTGCTGCGGTCGGTGTCTGCCTGTGGCCACAAAGCGTGCCAGGATGCTGAGAGGGTATGCGAGATCTGGGCGAGTGCAAGTCATCAGGTACATGAGGCAACCCACCAGCTCTGCGTAGGGGCCGCTGGGCTCTACCAACTCCTCAGGTACTGGAGCGGAGAGTCTGTGATCTACAGGCAGAGGGGTGGGCTGTGCAGAGGAGAAATGAAGGCTGAACCTCTGAAGGACCTGGCGCACCAAGTGTGACTGAGTCAGGGTGATGGTGCGCGCAGCTCTGTCCCTGGAGATCTGCAAGCCAAGGTAACTGCGCAGTTCTCCAAGGTCAGTGCAGGTGTGTCTCTTCAGCAGCTCTGCCTTCACGGAGGCCAGTGCGTCCCTGTCTGCCGTGGCAAAGACCAGGTCGTCGACGTAAACAAGGATGTAGAACGGAGTCTGGCCAGCACGAACGAAGAGTGAAGGGTCTGCGGAAGACGGAAAGAACTGCAGGTCAGCAAGGGTAGCACGGAGAGTGTCGTGCCACTCACGGGGAGCCTGGCACAGGCCGTAGACGAGGCGCCGCAGGAGCCACTGGGTCCCAGGAGGGAAGGTGCCAGTAAAGCCCAGAGGGCGACGCAGGTAGACCTGCTCGTGTAGGCTGCCCTGAAGGAAGGCAGTGGAGAAGTCGAGGGAGTGAAGCTCGTAGTCACGCTGAGCAGCTAGGTGTAACAGAACCCGAAGAGTAGTCATCTTCGGGGTCGGAGCGAAAGTCTGGAAGAAGTCCACCCCCTTGCGCTGACTGAAGCCTCTGGCCACATAGCGCGCCTTGAAGACAGGCGGTTCTCCAGGAGGGCGCTTCACCTTGAAGAGCCAGCGGCCATCGACTACGTTCACCCCAGGTGGGGGAACTGCGTCGACGAAGGTGCCGGTGGATCTCCAAGATGCCATCTCCTGCTCCATGGCAGCTATCCACTGCGAGGCCTAGGGTCCCGAAGTCGCCTCAGCGTAAGTGCGAGGGTCGGGATGTCGAAAGCGTCTGGGTCACCCTCAGGGACTAGCAGCATGGAACAGAGATGGGGAGCAGCCTCGGAGAGGAAAGTAAGCTCGAACTGGCGGTCCTCCAGGACGTCACTGCCAAGGGCAGGAGCACCCCCGACAGACGGAGGACAGGCAGGGTCAGAGACCAGAGCGGTGGCGTAGTCAAGGCGGCGGGTAGAGGCGAAGTCAGCGACAGCAGCAACAAGAGCGTCAAGGCACGAGACCGAAACAGACGGGTCTGTAACGAGAGAGGCAAGGACCCGAGGAACGAGAGGACGAGCGGCACGAAGGTAGTCGGACAGCGGGGGGGGCGCAACAACAAGGGAGGACGGAGGAGGCGACGGGAGAAGGGGAGGACGAGACGCGTGGGAACGAAGCAACATAGGGTGGGAGCGCAAGACAGGCGAGGCAGGACGAGCACGGGAGGGGCGGTGAGACCAGACGTGCGACGGAGGAGTTGGGTCAGGAGACAGGGGAGGGGACACAGGAGGGGAACGAGGGGGGAGACGAGCCGGGGACGAGTCCGGCGGAGGAAAAACAGGGCCGTAGACAGGAAGAGGAGGAGACGGCCGGGGAGGAACAGAAGCAGGGTCGGGTGACGGAAGGCCGAGCAGGCGAAGGGCGGACACCGGCGGGGACTGCTGCTGCGGCGGCACAACGGCGACACCTGGACCGCAAGCTGCTCCTCGGCTACCCCCGGCACTCTCCACACCAGCACCCCCTGAGGGACCACCCCCAGGGCGACCGGGACGAGCACCCCAGAGTCAGCGAACGGGGGCTGCGACGGCGGCAGCGGCGGCGGCGGAGGCGACGGTGGCAGCGGCGGCGGCGGCGACGACGACGGCTGCAGCAGCGGTAGTGGCGGTGGAGGAGGGGACTTGGGAGGGGACACCTGGGGAGGGGCGGCCGGCGAGGACTGCACAGGAGGGCCACCAGAGTCAGAAGACTCCTCAACCGGGTCCACAGACGGAAGGGGGGTGACGTAGGACACACCAGAGGGGGCGGGACGGGGAGGAGGAGGAGGAGGGGCAGGGACTACCGGGGAAGGGGTGACGAGGAACAGGGGGGGGTAACCGGGGGACCACGGTGGGGAAAGCGGCGGTAGTAGGAGACGGACTCGTCAAAGGTGACGTCACGAGAGTGAAAGAAGCGGTGAGACGGCGGGTGGTAAAAGTGCCAGTCGGACGCGTCAAGGGGAAAACCGAGGAAGACGCAGGGAAGGGTGCGGGCAGTGAGCTTGTCCGTGCCGGAGGCACGGACGTGAGCAAGGCAGCCCCAGACGTGGAACGCAGACGCGTCACCAGGAGACCCAGTCCAAAGACGGGTCGGCGAAACCTGCGGCTGCTGAGGGTGCGGCCACAGGTTAAGCTGGTGAGACGCGTAGCGCACAGCGAACGGCCACAGAAAATGGGGTGCACCGGCATGGATCATGGAGGTGCGAGCGACCTCCATGACCAAACCGATGCGTCGCTCAGCGACCCCATTCTGCTGTGGGGAGTCGGGTAGGGTGAACGTCTGGGTGATGCCCTCCGCACGACAAAAGCGACCAAGGACACCGGAGGCAAACTCGCCACCACGGTCTGAGTGAAGACGCAAGACAGGGAGACCGCGGTGGACACGCGCAGAGACAAGCCAGGGGATGAGAGCGCCAGGCACGTCGGCCTTGCGCTCCAGGGGAAAGACTGTGGTGTAACGAGTGAAGTCGTCGACAAGCACAAGGAAGTAGCGCTCTCGACGCGGCCCAGGGACGGGGGCGGGGCCCAGACGTCCAGGTGCAGGGTCTGCAGCGGCGTGGCGGTAGGGGGAAACGAGGAGGAGTGAGGGGCACGGCGAAGCGACCCTCGACACAAGGCATGCAAGGTGGGGCGGGAGAGGAGGGAAACACGGGGAGCGAACCTGGGAGACCAAG